ATACTAGGGACACCATAGGTCCCATAGATGAGAAACAAGGCCTCAATCATGAGTAATGGCCAAAGGTGATTGCTGGTGAATGAGACCAACCATTACTCTGAAGGCAGTGGCTGGGATTTCCTCCCTCTTCCAAGAACATCTTGGAATCTTGGTCTTCCAAGAAAATGACCAACGGTCATTTCCATAGGTCCACAGAAGTATTTACACTTACTGGGAGAGGGGAGACTCACCAATTGTAGTAGCTGGTGTTGTGTGGAGGGGTTTGTAGATAAACTGTGTCCAGGGTCCCTGGCACATCTCAGACTGCTGACAAATAGGGGGAAGTACCAGGAGGGCTGCTGGGTCTTGTAGCACCAATGTTGTTAAAAACAGCAGATGAGAGCAGATAGAAATGTCATGAGACAGGGCTCACATGAAGGGTTTATTAAGAGGAGAGTCAAGAGCTGAAGAGAGAAGAAGAGAAGAGAAGGGAGAGAGTATGAGGGATTGGAAATGAGAGATGCAAAGGCCTGCCTGCCTGACTCAGAGGAGTGGTGGGAAAGAGAGAGAGGAACAAGTAGAGCTTGCCTTTAAAGGGGGTCCTAGAGCATGCATATAGAGGTTTACTCATCTACACAGTGCATGTGCATAGATTAAGTGACTACAGCTGTATGACCCTGTGTGCTGGCTAGACATTTGTATGAAATGTTAACACTATCTACCTATCATATATATATATATATATATATATGTATATATATATATATATATATATATATTGGTTTTTCAAGACAGGGTTTCTCTGTGTAGCTTTGCGCCATCCCTGGAGCTCACTCTGTAGCCCAGGCTGGCCTCAAACTCACAGACATCTGCTTGCCTCTGCCTCCCAAGTGCTGGGATTAAAGGTGGACACCACCACCACCACCACCTGGCCTATCTACCTTTTTTTTTTTTTTTTTTTTTTGCACTTTGCAGTTACCACAAAGATTGTAAGTACAGACACGATATATTAGTCAAATACTGAAGTATTAGTATGGCTATTCCTGACATAGGGATGAGGTAGACATGTATGGAATAATTTGCAAGCACTTACAGATAAGGCCTTATTGTAACAGACCCAGCAACCAATCTTTCTCAAAAGATGCCATGTTTTTGAGCCCCTCATATTTGGTTTTGGAGTTCATATTTCTGTGCAAGATTTATGTTTTCTCTTGCCTTCCCCACAATAGCTGTTCCACTGTTTAGTTAAAAAAAAAAAAGAGGAATTTTGGTTCTGTTGTTTCTTATTATCAATTTTAATCATGGAGTTATTGAACTGCATCCATTCAAGTGTCCTAATTCAACTGTGTACCTTAGATTTCCCTAGTCACATTACTTTCCCTAATAATAGGCCTATCCAAGCTGCATATCTATACATGATAATCAGACAAATACTTACCATGGATCCTAGCCAGCTTTTCATTGCCAGGAAGGTCCACAGAGCTCTTCTCAATATTCACTGCCTGTTCTATATCCAGGTTCCTGGATTCCTGCTCATACAGAGGGTAATCAAGACACAATAATTTTGTATATTATAGCCTCTGAAATTTTTGTTTCTAATTTACAAAAATCATTACCTCACTTCTCTTATCCAACCCTCATGGACACAGTAAGCAAACTTATGACATACAAGCAATTATGAATCAAAAGAAGAATAATTAACTCCAATTAGAAATGTATGTTTATTTATATGCATTATACAGATTATAAAAACTGTTTTGCAGCCGGGCGTTGGTGGCGCACGCCTTTAATCCCAGCACTCGGGAGGCAGAGCCAGGCGGATCTCTGTGAGTTCGAGGCCAGCCTGGGCTACCAAGTGAGCTCCAGGAAAGGCGCAAAGCTACACAGAGAAACCCTGTCTCGAAAAACCAAAAAAAAAAAAAAAAAAAAAAAAAAAAAACTGTTTTGCTTTAATATTCAGGTCTGATGTATAAAAGATGAGTCTCTCAGATTTATTCTATCAGGGACTATAAAGTTTATAATCTTACATAAATTTCAGAATTGATGAACTAACAATATCTAGCTGTTGTACTCTTATTACTGTTGTGCCCAGATTGCAACCCCCAGAGAGACCACCAAAGATGAGCATGCCAGAATGCAAAAGCAAGGTTTAATTCTGGATATCCAAAAGTAATACAAGCCTAGGCAGGGACTTTGTCCAGCAGATCCAACCCAATGGAGGCTAAAAGAAGTGCCTGCCTCTCTGCAAGCTCAGTTTTTAAAGGCAAAAAACACAAGGTTGCATTATTTAGGGGTGCTAGTATGGGTACAATTCTGATTGGCTCGCTTCTAGGGACTTTCTAGAAATCATGGCTTAATCTTACTTCTAAGGGGGTGGTTGCCCACCACCATTTCTCATTGGCTGCCCTTAGGTAGGGACATTTTTATGGTCAGTTACCCTGGAAACTAAGGTTGGAACATTCTTTGGTCAAACAGTTACCTAGGGAACCAGAGAGGGGACATTCCATAGTCCAGCAGTCATTACCTCATGACTACCTTGGGACTCTGTACTTTTACACTTCCTGGTTTCTAGAATCTGGACTGACTGGTTTCAGTAATTCATGGCCTATTACAGTAACTCATGGCCTGTACCTAAAAGGAGAAATCTTAGGCCTTAGTTTTAGGGTGAAAGCATTTTCGTCTTATTTCTAAGATGGCTCATTTTGGTCTCACAATTAAAACTTATGAATAAATGGTCACAACAATCACAGAGTGGAAATATATGCATTGCTATGCTCAAATTTGTCCTCATTTTCTGTAGATTGTTGTGCTTCTGTCTGGAAATTTAAAAAATATTTATTCATGCATATGAGTGTTTAGCCTACATGAATGTCTGTGTAACATACTTGGTTACTTTGGAAGTCAAAAGAGGATGTCTACCCCCCAAAGACTGTAGGGTACAGATAGTTGTGAGCCTCAGTGTGGGTGTTGAGAATAGAATCTAGGTTTTCTGTCAGTGTCTGGTCCAGAAGGGAAGTCAGGGAGAACAAGGAATGGGAGACCATGGTAAATGAAGACCACATGAGAAGAGGAAGAGACAGAGTGCTGGAGAGGCCCACAGAAATCCACAAAGATACCCCCACAAAAGACTGCTGGCAATGGTCAAGAGACAGCTGGGACTGACCTACTCTGGTGATGGGATAGCCAAACACCCTAATAGTTGTGCCAGAAACCCCATCTAAGGACTGAGGAATCTGGATGCAGACATCCACGGCTGGGCCCCAGGTGGAGCACTGGGAGTCTAATTAGTGAGAAAGAGGAGGGTTTATATGAGGGAGAATTGTTGAAACCAAGGTTGGATAAAGCACAGGGACAAATAGCCAAGCGAATGGAGACACATGGACTATGAACCAAAGGCTGGGGGGCCCCCAACTGGATCAGGCCCTCTGAATAGGTGAGACAGTTGATTGGCTTGATCTGTTTGGAAGGCATCTAGGCAGTGGTACCAGGTCCTGGGCTTGTTGCATGAGTTAGCTGTTTGAAACCTGGGACTTATGCAGGGATGCTTGGCTCAATCTGGGAGGAGGGGACTGGACCTGCCTGGACTGAGTCCATCAGGTCAGGTCGATCTCAGTCCTCGGGGAAGGCCTTGATCTGGAGGAGGTGGGAATGGGGGGTGGGCTGAGGGGAAGGGGAGGGGGGCAGGAGGGGAGAGAACAAGGGAATCTGTGGCTGTTATGTAGAACTGAATAGTATTGTAAAATAAAATAAAATTTAAAAAAGCAAAAAAAAAAAAAAGAATCTAGGTTTTCTGAAAGAGGAGTCTCTGTTTTTAATTGCTGAGCCATCTCTCCAGACTTATGTCCGAATATTGTAAATGCCTTACTTATTGATGAGCATTAGAATTAAAGTTCAGGTCTAGAGTGATGGCTCAGCCATGAAAGGCTAGGCTCACAACCAAAAATTAAGCTGAATGTACTGGTGAGTTTTTAATATACTTTTTTTCATGGAGTATATTTTTTACTATAAGAAGTTTAAAATCACTTTATTACTAACAAATATCTACTTTTCAATGATAATAAGTAATGCAAGTTTGAGCACTTTTCTGTCTTCAGTATAGAAACATCAAGTATGAGAACTAGTTTTTACAAACATTTGAAAATTTTAATGCAGAGTGCTTGGACAGCAAAACTGCCATCCGGTGTTCCATTTAAAGACTGGAACTAGTCTAGAGAGAAAATAAATGGACAGAGGCCTACACATGACCTTGGGCCATATGTGTGCTCCTTGGGTTTTCCTTTTTTTCAGTAAATGAATAATATATAACTTCCTCAAATGACCAGTTGTGAAACTGATGGAGCTAGGAAATGTGTATATTTGGAGATAATATGTGATTGTGTGGTCCTATTTGGATTGTTCAACTGTGGAAGTAGTTGTCTATCACTCTATTACTGGTGGATTTAAATAAGACTTGCAAATTTTCTAATGTGCCCCCACATTATACAACAGACTAATTTTCATGGCCAGGGCTTTTGGTGGCTCCCATTCCCGCTGTAGTTCCATGTATTCATGTCCATTAAACCTTTATCTAAACAACATTCAAGAAATTAACATGTTTACCATGTAATATTTAATATTTGTTTGTGTTTGCAGTCTTTACACTGTAAGGCAGAAAATGTAATAGCACTTATCAAAAGATCAGAGAAAGAATCACAGACTGGGCGTATTTGGCTAAGGGGGAAAAATGCCCCTGAGTAGCAGCTGTTCAATACCACATGCTTTCTTTTATATTTCAAAGGTTGCCCACATTTACCTTAATTTAAGAACATTTTCTAATTATTTTGAATTATGTAATATTGTGATCATTTTTTGCTTCATTTTAAAGCAGATATAGATATATAGATAAAGAAGGTAATCAAATTTGATTTGATATGGAAGCTGTCATATTGTATGAAGGAAGATCTCTTCTACAAGTACTGGAATGAGCTGTAAACAGCTAACTAACATGCTGTTTGGTTTCTTCTGTTCTGATGCAACTGTAGGCCAAACGCTTTCCAAGTTGTTGCTGTGGATGGAGTCTGCAGTGGAATTATTCAATGCCTCTCTGCTGAAGACTGCATGGATTGGCTCCAAGCAATAGCAGCTAACATTTCAAACCTCACAAAGCACAATGTAAGTACTGATACCAGGAATGACTATATAGCCAAAGTCTCTCAGCAGCATTCATAGGTTTATTTGGTAGCATTTAACTTTGCTTCATCTGCTTAATGCCATGACAAGAATGCGCCCTCTGAAACACAAGAGAAAAATCACCTCGCCATTAGCACCCAGACATGAGTGACATGTGTGAGAAAATGCTCACAGTTTTCCTTTGCTCAAAGACATAAGCAACTGCTTTAAACAAACATTAAGCAGATCTTGTCATGGAAGTGGTATGTTTTAAGAGCATCCTAGGAAAATAGGCTACTGAATTTCAAGGAAATGTTATTGATTTGTCTTCAGTGACTTCAGGACTGCAGCTGAAAATGTATGAATGAGGAGGTTCAGGAGAAAGGTGTTAACATGGAGACTGAATGCTTCCCATGGAACCCTGCAGGAACAATGCTAGTGAGTGAATGCCATATGGGATGCAAGAATTTGTGCAGCACAGCCAGGTCTCTGTCATTGGAAAGTGCTTTTCTCCTAACCTATCTTTCAAATATCCTTTCTTCTCCCTCAATTCCTATGTGTTTTTGTGGTCACCATATCTTTGTTATCATTACATGGAAATAATTTATCCTTTTTTGGTATTAATTTCAGAAATGTAGCCCAACAAATTTTGAAAATCACACACTAGGGAGAAATAAAGAGCTTAATCTATAAAATTCTTTCTGGAAAAACAGGAGAACCTGGCCTTGATCCCCAAATCTCCAAATTCTTCAACCCCTGATTTCTAGCCACATCCTAGCTCACATGCATCTTCTCACCCATTGAATCCTATGTGCAACTATAGAGTATAAAAGGTGTATCCTTTTTTAAATACATTGGCAGCCATCCTGATTCCCCCTCAGATTGTGCCATCTCCTTCCCTTTGCTGAATTGAAGAATTTAGCATTGACCTTGACAAGTCTAAGGCAGCAGTCATATGTTAATAGAAGGGCCAAAATTCCTCTGCTGGAGAGAGGAAGTGTCTCCCTTTTAAGCAAGCAGGAACTTTCCTCAAGCCCCTAAGGGAATGAAGGCTCTTATCCAAATGCCTGACCTTGGGCAAAAGACTTCTGGGGACCAGGCACTCCAATACAATTCAAGAGTAATTTTCATTCTTCAAGGGTCATGATGCATAATTTGTGCTAACCTGTTCCCTAATTGTGTCTTAGTCTTACTATATGAACCTGTTCCCCTCATGTGCTCCCCAAAGTGAAGGTTCTGATAGTCTATTCTTTTCCTATTGTAACCATACCATTCTGATTTCTCTATACTTATTAACTAAACTCTTGCCCTTAATGGACTCAGGTTCTGGACCTGGATTGTAGGTGTTTTATCCTTGGGATCAGGTCTAACTTTCCTGTTCTTGGAGAAATTAGGAGAGCACAATGATTTTCTGGCTCTACAGTGGCAGGAATTTTTTTTCCAAAGAATTATTTTGTTTAAAGAGGCTATTGATTTATACATTTTCATACAAAGCTCACACAAAATTCCCAAAGGAAAACCATAAGGGAACTCTCATAATACATACTGAGAATCATTAAATATGAAAATTAAATGTGCTGGAGAAGTATGGCTTGAAATGTTGGAAATTAGCCAAATAGCAATGGTCATCATGAAGTCCATGGCCAAGTAACATTGAGATTGCTCTCTATCATCTATAAACATGCATGCACACTTGTAAATGAACACACAGGCATGGACACAGACACACATACACATTAGTATAATTTTGCTAAATGTGATAGTATTATAGATCATACCACTCTTGAAAAATAAAACATACTTTTAGTCACTCATTCCTTTGCCTCTGTTCCTTTCTATACCCACAGTTGTTTCAAAACATACTGGAATATTTGTGATATCCTCAGTGATACTCAGAAGTTTGAATTCAGCAATTAGACAAAATAGCAACTCTTACCCATTGACGAAGTCACAACTCTTTCTTAAAGCAAATGCCCATGTTATCTAGAGTAACAGCACACATTTTGCTTTGGACACCAGAAAGATCTTAGTAAATATATATATTTAAAAAAATAAGACAAGACAGACTCTTCTACCCAAGAGCATTTTACTTGAATTACTTTTTAAATATCCTGGGTGTAAGATTATGCATGAAATTGAGTTCCACTCTAGTACTAATACAGACAGTGGAAGATGTAGCTCTGCGTAAATGGAGTACCCATCACCATGACCAATTTGTTTGGCTTGAGCAAGAGTGATGGTCTACTTTCCTATCAACCAGTCCTGATAGAGCTGAGGTATTGAGGATTTTAATAATGCCACTGTTGTGTTTTTGTGTCAATGACTTATGAGAATGTGACTTTATGTTTCATGGCAACAATGGTGGGAATGCCTTACTCATGAACCATGGTTCTGTATGTGTGAGAAATACACTTTTAAAAGAGCAGAAGAATAAGCTTTAAATTTTTTCCTCACAACTACATCCAAATTGTCAGTCTTATACCCTAAGAATGATCTTAGAAAATCTGATTCTTGCAAGAAATATTTAGTTAGAAGGACACAAGCCACGTGACAGCTCTTGAAAACCTAGTACTGAAATAGAAAGTAAAGGTGCAGAAGCTATTGTTATCAAGGAGCCCAAAGGAACAGATGCCAGCTTAATGGCACAGTTTCCACTGTGACAAGTGCTCACCATGACATGTAGAAAACAGACACCACCGCTGTACTCTTGATGTTAGGTTCCCTTCTGTAGCTGTGATAAAATACTTTGACTACAAGAAACTTGAGAATTTATTTGATTTAACTGTCTATCAATGAGGAAAGTCAGAGCAGGAAGTCAAGCAGGAGCTTTACACAGAGTCTGTAGAGAAAACTTGCTGATTTTTAGATCTATCAGGCTCCAGTTTAGCTACCTTTCTTATAAAGCCACCCAGATCACCTGTCCAAGGAATTGTGCCTCTCATGGTGGGCTAAGTGTTCCTACATCAAATTACACTCAAGATAATCCTAAACAAATATGACAACAGGCCTGTCTGATCTAGGAAATTTTTCAGTTGCAATTTTTTTCTTAGGTGGCTCTTAGCTGTGTCAAAGTGAAGATTACTGGGAGATATTTTCTGAACTTCTGGGAGACTCCCATGCCTGCTCTGCTGCTACTATAATGTAAAAATAACACATTATTTCTGTCCTGTATTTATATATTTTAATTTCATGTTCTTTTGCTTTTATAATCAGCTATCACTAAGAAATTTTTGTGATTATAGTGTATGTTGATGTGTATAGCACTACATCAGAGTTGAATTATAGAACTGCACAAGGAGAAAGTCACATTGCCTCACAGAAATCCAGTCAGGACAGTTAGATGTTAATTCTAGCTCTCTTACTTTTTCTTATTGGAAGAAGCTTCTAGAAATAAAGCTTTGTATAAATATTTAGAACTGTTCTTTTGTTGTTTTTATATAACTAATTTTTGGCAATATGCTGAGGGAGTATGGATGCTAGTAAAATATATAAATTATTGCATTTCTCTAGAAGATGCAAAAATGGTAATTAATATGTAAAACTTTCACACAAAATATTATTAAACATTTAAATAATTTTTTAAAAATATTAAAGTATATGAGAAATTATAACTTTTAAATCATACTTGAAATGATATAAAATATATGTGCATATAATGACTATATCTGATAAAAATAGACTACAGATCAATAATAGTCAGAAGATAAGACTATTGTATATTAATACAAGAAATACATTTACCAAGAAGATATAGTAATATAATATCTGTATGTTTTGGCATTGGAGTTTCCATTTTCTTAGCAACAAAAGATTAATGTCCATAGAATGACATATAGTTCTGATAAAACTATGGGGGGGGGTCTAAGTATACCACTGTCATCTATAGATAGGTCATCCAAACTAAAATTCCACAGAGACACTTCAAATTGAATTTTGCCATGTATCAAATGCAGTTTATATAAACCTAAAGAATATTGTTCAGTAGTCAAGGAATATACCTTTCTCCAAAAGCACGTGAAAGTTTGCCTAAAACAGATTACATTAAAAACCACAAAGCAAACCTTCATAGCTTCATAACAATGACAGCATTTCTTATATCTTATCATATCCTAGTGGGATAAGGCAGAAATCAATGGAAAAGGAAGTCATAAAGTCTATGGAAGTTCTTAGAGGCTGAAAAATACATTCTGGAATAATCAGTGAGTTAGTGATGAAAAGAGCAATTCAAATTTTAAAAACTCATCAATAAAGCTTTTTTATACACAAAGTTTATATATGTGTATTTCATTAAAAAATTGGGAGATCTAAAATAAAATAAAACTTACTGATGTGTCTCAAAAAATACATACAAATAAAGCTTAAAGTAGTAGATTGCAAGAAACAAACAAAAAAGATCTGGGCAGAAATTAATGAAATGGATGAAAAAATGGTAGAATTGGTGAAATGGAGAATTGTTACTTTGAGAAATGATCAAGATTTATAAACCAAAGTAATGAAAAGGAAGAGAAGAAACATATCAAAAATTAGGGATTAAAAGGTGTTACAACAGACTCTAATATATTCCAGGGAGTCAAAAGGAAATGCTTTGAAAACATTTTCTATAGACTTAGAATAATATGAAGAAATAAATGCAATCAATAGAGACAGAAGACTGCATATTATTAAATCAAGAGTATATAGATAACTTACACAAGGATATAACCAGAAACAAAGACCAGCCTATGACCAGAGAGGCTAACTGCTGAATTACAACCCTCAAATTGTTTTTAAATAATATAAAAAAAGGAAAAGAACAAGGCCAAACTTATTTCATGAAGTCATTATCACAATGATTTCAATCAGATGTAGAAAAAAAGAAAAAAAAAAGAAGAAACCAAAACAAATATTCTAATACCTTTTCTTATTAAGCAGTGACACTGAAATTTTCATTGAAATACTAGGAATCCAGATCAGCATATTAAAATCACAAGTTCTGATCAAGGCAGTCTGATTTCAGGGATACA